AAAAAAAAAAAAAAAAAAAAACACGTAGGAAAAACAAACCAAATATATAGTAACAAACAAAAGAAATGAAAAAGAAAATCAAAACCGAAATAATCAAGAAAAAAATACATACAGATCTGAACATCAGGTCGCGTGACGTTAGTCAAAAACTTGTGTGGCAAACAAATGATAGTCATGAAAAAAGTCAGATAAATATGAAGAACTAAAAACCTTAGATGCAACAAGAAAACAACATGACAACATAAAGTAATATGAAAACAACCATAACAATCCAAACATTAACAAACCTCAACATATACAAAAATCAACAGGCACATAATGAATGAAAATAATTTCCACAGACTTCCTCGAAAACTCAAGTCGATTGTTCAACTGAGTGTTGTGAATTGAAGGCTAATAATCGTCATCAAAATCATAAAAACCACCAAGCCTAAAAAATAGAAAATTATTAAAAATTGTCCATACCGATTGAACCCAAACATGCTCCATCGTTGAGCCATAACGACGACGAGCAGTTGGAGGTCGTAGATCCTTTTATGATGATTTGCTATTCGAACCTTGCACACTCATTCCAGACACGCTGACGTCTGGAATTTGGAATCCGAGCAGCGAGAACTGATTCGAAGGCTTCATCTATGATTGGCCCTGTTGCATAACATCGAGTATAAAAGGAATTTTTCAAGACTTCAAGCAGTCCATGGTTTCGAAAAAAATTGGGATGCGGATTTGAAGAAATTGGGAAATTAGATTAGGGAAAATCTGTAAATTGGAGAAGAAGAAAAATAGAAAGAGAAAAAAAGGAATGAAAATGGAAGGACGAAATAAAACGAGAGAAGAATAAGGAATAAAAATCGTGGATAAAAAAAAATGAAAAGAGGAGGAGAAGAAGAAAACGAGACAGAAAAAAGGGAATAAGAAAAAAGAGAAGAAGAAAGGAGAGAAGAAGAAAAAAAAAATCAGTGAGATATAATAGAAAAAAATTAGGGCAAGAAGAAGAAGAGGAGAAAGAAAAGGGAAAAAAATAAGAGAAGAAACAAGAAAAAAGAAAAATAAGAAGTCACAAGAAGGAGAAGAAGTTACAGGGAAGTTACTAATAGGGTCTACGATGAAAACTTGAATTGGATGCATCCATGAAAAAAGTGTATATGGAAAAGGAAGGACTAATTTTGTCTAAATAATACGTGAGAGTATTAATACAACATGTTTAACGATAGAGATAGAGGGTGTCATTAATTCTACATTGTGCCGAATAAGAGCCCAACTACATTTGAAGTGGTTAAAATCTTATTTTTTTTTTTTTTCTTTTTTTTTTTTGAAGCCCTTTTTCTTATCACAGCTTCACATAAAATTTTGTAGGACTTCCAATTTTGGGTTTTTCATTGTGGGTCGACCTCCTTATATTTAATTTCGTGTTTCAACCTTCATCTAGCCAAGCAATTAATAAAACGAGTTTATAAAGAAGATCGAGTTCGATTCATTTATTATTATTAGCTAATCAAACTTGAATTTTAACGAATTGAAATATTTGAGTTTTAACAAGTTAAACTCTAGTCTTAACTAGTCGAGTTACAACACTTTTTTTTTGGAGAGAAGGGAATTAATATTTTTGCCATATTTTTTAAGTTTTAAATTACTAACTCTCGTTAGTGCTCCATTTTTTTAATGATGTGACAATTCATATAATATTCCTTAAATGTGCTTGTGGCACTATCTTAGTCTTTGTCCTAAAAATTGACCTAGGCGGCTGTCTAAGCGCTGTCCAACCGCCTCCTATTTACATAAATCGGCTAGGCAGACCTAGGCGCTCATAAGCAAGCTCGGTGCAATTTTTTAGTTTTTTTTTTTTAAAATACTACTTACGTTATTTTCTTACTATGTTTTCTTTATAATATATTGATATTATTATTTGGACTTAGGTGTGTTGATTTATATAAGCTGAGATAGTTTTATTTTGTAAGTAATGAAAATAAATAAAAAATAAAGCATTTCATCTTGATTTGTATGCCTCACCTAGGCGCTCTAAGCCTTAGGCACTGGTCGAGCGCCTAGCAGATGCTTAACAACTTATAGAACACTGATCTTGGTAACTCTCAAGATCCATTGTATCTATATATATTGAAAAATATGCTAAAATAATCTAAAATAGTAACTTTGACTTTGTAATTAAGTAGGTTGACTTACTATTAAAGAAAATATAGTAAAAAATACTTTAATATTTATGAAAAAATAAAAATTAAACTATACCTA